GGGAGTGCCGCCGCGCTTCCCAAGCGGCGCACTATCCAGTGCGCCACTGGGCCGGCCCAATTATCTCCATTTTACAAATGAAAAACCGAGGCTCAGAGAAGTTGAGGAACTTGTCCAGAGCCAATAGCTGCCAGATGGTGTGACTCTGGAGGATTTTGGCAAAAAGAGGAGAGATTTCTATTTAGAGTGAAAATTGGCTGCTACAGTGAGAGTGGATCATAAAGTACAGGAGACCGATGAAGGGAGGCCTGGACTCAAGAGGTGGACATGGAGCCAATGCCCTCCAGAGTGGGAATGAGGCACCATCCTGGGTCCTGCCGACAGGAGCCCCACCACTTTCTAACTGTCCCTATGACGCCCCCATAATGTTGTCAGAGACTCTCCTCAGATGGATCCCCATCATCTCCATCCTTCTATCCCTACCCCCACAGTCCTGAGAAAGAGGGAGTGACCACCAGGAATCTAAGTCTGGCTTCTCATCTCTCCACCAGGCTTCTCATTTCCTCTGGCCCCTTCCTATCCTGCCCCCAGAAATCTCAGGACCCCTCCCTCGGTGTTGCATTTACCATCATCCCCGGTACTTGCCCTCCCCAGGCCCGAGAAGGACAGGGCAGCCACTGGAGTGGATGCTGTCTGCACCTACCACCCTGACCCTGTGGGTCCCCAGCTGGACAGAGAGCGGCTGTACTGGGAGCTGAGCCAGCTGACCCATGGTGCCACCCAGCTGGGCTCCTACACCCTGGACCCAGACAGTCTCTATGTGAATGGTGAGCTGTGGCCATCTGTGCTTTGCTGTATTATAGCGCCCACGTTCTCCCCTTCGCTGCCTCCTATATTCCTCCTCCACCTGCCAACACCTCCTCTCTCTCTTTCCCTCTCTCTCTTCAGGTTATACCCATCAGACTTCAGTAACTGCCCCCAGTGGTGAGTTCTCAGTGGTCCCCAGAAGCTGCTCCTGGGCCCCGCCACAATCAGGGAAGGAAACAACAGGCCCCTGCCCATATCTCCAGCTGTCAGGAGGGAGGAAGTAGGGACCCAGGCTGGGAAGTCAGTGCAATGAAAATCAGCCGTGTTGTCACAGCCTCTGTGTTGTCAACTGGACACGGAGAAATGACCACCAAATGTTGGTTGGGTGGATGGATGGAGAAAAACAGGCAAACAATTCAATGGTGATAAGTAAGAATGTCAGATTGTAAACTGTCTCCTTCAAAGCTTTGTAGCTTCCAAACCATTCCCTCCTTCACCTGCAGCATGTGATGATCTAACATGCACAACCCATGACTCTGGTATTAGGCCCCCACTCTCAGCCATTGCTGTGGCCTCCAGTGAGTTGGTCGCTGGTCTCAGGCCTGTGGCCGCAGACCCTGCTTGCCCTTTCTATCTATCCCAGGCCTGACTCACCACGGCCTCTCCTCTCCCTTTCCTGCTGTAGCCACAGGATCATCCTTGGTCCCATTCACCCTCAACTTCACCATCACTAACCTGCGCTACAGGGAGGATATGTGGCCTCCGGGCTCCTGGAAGTTCAACATCACAGAGAAGCTCCTGCAGCGACTGGTGAGAGCCCCGCCCACCTCGCTTCTGCCCCACCCACTGGTGCCAGCCCCTCCCACCTCGCTTCTGCCCTGCCCACTGGCACCCACCCCACTGCTGACCACCTTGCCCTTGCTCTCAGCCCACCTACTCCCTTCCTGCTCTCTCCTCCACAGCTCGATCCCTTGTTCAAGAACACCAGTGTCGGCCCACTGTACTCCAGCTGCAGACTGACCTTGCTCAGGTGAGCTTTGGAATATCCCACCAGAGCTGCCCCAAGTGCTCCCAGGCCAGAGGACTTTGGTGAGCTTTTTTCTGGCCCTTCCTCTGGATATCCTCAGCAGAGAAGGCATTCAGGAGCAAGGTGTCTCCTGATCCTACCATCTTCCCACCAATGTTCCCAGATTCTACAGAGCTCATCAGCAAGATTGGACCCCTACCCTGATCATTGCTCCTGAATTTCCTTCTTCTCCTCCCTTTATCAATGAAGGCACTTCCGTTGAATGTTAAATTTTGTTCCCAGGATCTCTTTCAAAACAAATGTGCTTTCTTCACTTGCATTAATCCCTGACTTCACCTCTTCACCTGTCTCAAGTATGAGCTCTCCTGTCCCCATGGCATGGGGATGCAGGTGTGAGTCTTGCAATTTAATAAAAAGTTTTGTATCCATGATTTTGCTCACAGTCTCAGGCTGGCTGGAAGTCTGTGCATTCAGAGAATGTAACTGGATTCTCACCTGTCTGCCAGGCTTATCATTTCCTATGGCCCCTTCCTGTCCTGGCCGCAGAGATCTCAGAGCCCCTCCTAGGAAAATGTTTATTGTCATCTCCCTCACCCACACTCCCCAGGCCTGGGAAGGATGGGACAGCCACCAGTGTGGATGCTCTCTGCACCTACCACCCTGAACCCATGAGCCCCGGGCTGGACAGAGAGCGGCTGTACTGGGAGCTGAGCCAGCTGACCCACAGGATCACCCAGCTGGGCCCCTACACCCTGGACCAGGGCAGTCTCTACATCAGTGGTGAGCAGAGGACATTCTTTTTTGCATCTCAATAGGTCCTACATTCCCCCCTCTATTCTTCTCTATCCCTCGTCCCTCCCCCCTTACCATTTCCCCATCTACCTGTGCAAGTTATGTCCACCAGACTCAGACCACCACCTCCAGCAGTGAGTATTTTGAGTCTTCAGAAGTCTCTACAGCCCTGTAAGCTGCCTCTGCCTGAGCTCCAGCTCTTAGGAATGGAAGAGGCCAGGAGGTCACTGCCTCCACTCCCCCCCATCCCCGACCTCAAGCCTCGAGTGAGCAGGGAGCTATTCCCAAAAAAAGACCCAGACATCAGCACCTCCTCCCCGGCATCTCCAGGATGATGGAGTCCCCAACCCAAGCTCTTAGGGCGTTTTCTCCCTAGCTTCTGCAGCGACAGTGTCTATATCAGTGGTAAAGGGCTGTGTTGGGGTGTGGGTCTTCTCACTGGATGGTCTCTGCAGCAGCAAGTCCCTGCACCTAGTTCAGACTTCCATCTGGGCCTCACTACAGCGTGCTTCGAGCAAAACCTTTGTTTCTCTGAGGTTAGGGACTGGACTTTGATCCCTGCCAGGTGGAGGTGCTGTCTTCCTTTTAAGTGAATCCCAGCTGTGATGGTCCAGCCACCAATGGACCATCTCTCCAGTGACCAAGTTACCTCTTCTTTGAAGATCTCTCCCTTCCCCCTCCCTCACCATCTCTCCCTGTCTCTGCAGGTTACACCTATCCAGCCTCAAGCACTACCCCCAACAGTGAGTATTCCAGATCTCTGTGCATCTGTGGCCACCTTCCATCCCCTGAAAAATAGGGGCTGCTGAGTCAGCCAGCTCCTCCTCCTGTTATCTCTGCTTTGGATGCGAAGGAGTCCGGAGGGGGTGCATAGAACTGTAGACTGAATTGGGGGTGGGAGGGGTCACCCACCCTTCTCAACACACACCCCCAAGGATGATGCCCTGACTCCAGACTGAATGGGGCATAGGAGAGGCATACATTTTTGTAACTAGAGCCGCCACCACTGCCACCATCCCCTTAAAGATGTAACACACTTTGGATTTCATTCCTGGTAGGGTTTGTTTTCTCTCAGCAGCTGTGACCATGACACTTCTTAGCATCCTCTCTGCCTCCATTCGCCGCAACCAGGCCCATGGGCAGGAAGGGCCTCAGGCTGTTCATTTGTACCAAATCACTTCTTCTGTTATTGCTCACCCATCTTCCCCACGGAACTCCTGTTTCCATGGATTCTAGAAACCATCTAGTTGCTGAGGGTCCAAATCCTGGGTACAGCCCATGCCACACAGAAGCTCCTGACCCGTGGTCCACTCCCCTCCTGAACGTCACTCAGGCCCCTTGGTCTCTGACCCTGAAATCGTCATCGTCTCCCAAACTTGCTTCTTCTTATCACTAAAAGCAGAGACAGAGAGACAACCTTGGCCCTTCATCTCACTTGCCTCCTACATCCATCCATCACTACATCTCATTTCTTCTCCCTTAGGAATACCTCTTGAGCCCTTCCTTTTCCTGCATCTGCAGCACTCAGCCTTTATTCTGGCCATCAGCCTTTTTTGCTCACCACTGCAGTAGCCTCCACTCTGGCCTCCCACCATCCTCCACACAGCAGCCGCGGCATCCCTCCCGAGGTACACATGTTCATATAATTCCTTTCTTGTTGACAGTCTTTGGATGACTTTGTCTGGTCTGCAAGTCATATCCAAACCTCTGTGCTGCATAGCCAATGCCTCCCCTTTCTGGACTCAGAGGATCCCTCCGTTCTCACATCTACACTTCTCTGCAGCTAGAATGAAAGAACTTCAAGTTCCTTGAGATTACCATGCTCTGTCTTCCTGCCAGGCCTTTGCCCAGCCTGATCTTTCTTCCTGGAGTGTCGACCCCACTTACTCACCTCCTGTTAATCTAACTCTTACCCATGCTTTTTGTCATACCTGAAACGATGAATCCTCCAGGAAGCCTTCCTCAGTCATAGGTTGGGCGACCCTCCTGGATTTTCACAGCCTCCCCCCACCCTAAACCGGATTCCCCTAAAGCATAATGATCTGGTCATGTTTCTGGCCACAACATTGGCAGACTATGTCCTATCCATCTTTAGACCCACAGAGCCCAGCACAGAACCTTGCACACATTAGGTGCTCAATACATGCTCACCAAATTTATGCATGAATTCCCAATGTCTTGGGAATTCCAGAATGTTCCCTGCTTCAGCTCCTGCAGCCCATGACTGTACTTAGTCCACAGCTGCTGCCCCAAAGTTAGGAACAGAGGGGACAACCTTGGGTCACTAGTATAGCTGGACATCTTTCTCTTCACCACTGCAGCTACTGGACCTACCCTGGTACCCTTCACCCTCAACTTCACCATAACCAACATGCACTACATGGAGGATATGGGGAGTCCAGGTTCCTCAAAGTTCAACTTTACCGAGAGGGTCCTACAGCACCAGGTGAGAGCCTTCCGAAGACCACCAGCAGCCCCACGTCTCACCTGCCCGCATGGCCCCTGAGCCCCTCCTGCTTCCCTTGCTCACCTTCCTCTCTTTTCCCACCAGCTCAGGCCCTTGCTCACTAAGACCAGTGTCGGCCCCCTCTACGCTGGCTGCAGACTGGCCTCACTCAGGTGAGACCCCAGATGGAATGATTCATCCGGTTGGGTGGACCCTTGTGCACTGGCCAGTAGGGCTCAGAGACCGCTCACACCACTGGTCTCCAGCACCCACCACAATACCCTTTTGACTTCTTTGTGCCCAGGTGGTGCAAATGCTTGAGGCTTAGAGACGAGGAACTGTTTAGCTTATGGAATCCTGATGATAATCTGTTTGGGTTTTTTAATTAATTTATTTTTTTCATTGTACATGTTTATGGGGTACAGTTTGTTGTTTCAATACATGCGTATATTGTGTAATGATCTAATTAGAATAGTTAGCATATCTATTATGTAAGCATTTATCATTTCTTTGTGGTTATAGCATTCAAGATCCTCCTTTCTGGATATCTTGAAATATACAGTACAATATTATTAGCTGTTGTCACTCTCAAGCACCAGAGTTTATTCTTCCTATCTAATGCAACTTTGTAACTTTGTGCCAGTCTACCAAACTTTCCCCAGCCCTCCCCACCCTTTCCCTACCTCTGGTAACACTATTCTATTCTCTATTTCTCGCTTTCCCTCTCTTTTTAACATTTTTTTTAACTGACCCATGATAATTGTATATGTTTATGGACTACAATGTGATATTTGGGTGGTGCATTCATACTGGGTACAGTGATCATATCCAGGTGCTTAGTAATGAGGGATGTCCTTTTATAGGAAGTGGAGTAGCCAGACATGCTGTCTGCAAATTCTAATTACAGCATTTTCTGTCTCCAGTGTGAGGGGGTTCTCAGATGAGAGACACAGGAGAGCCCTTACAGACCTCAGAGCTAGCCCTTTCAGCATCCTCTCAAACTCCTCCTTTCCACACCAAAGTGCTCAGGACCCCTCATCAGTATTCCATGTCCTCGTATTCTTCCTTCCCCAGGCTTGAGAAGGGTGGAGCAGCCACAGGAGTGGACGTCGTCTGCACCTTCCATTCTGACCCCACAGGCCCCAGACTGGACAGAGAGCGGCTGTACTGGGAGCTGAGCCAGCTGACCCATGGCATCACCCGGCTGGGCTCCTACACCCTGGACAAGGACAGCCTCTGCGTCAATGGTGAGGGGCCATGTTCCAGCCACAGTCTCTCTCTCAGTTGGAGTCTTGAGTTTTCCCAAAGCTCTGAGCAAAGCTTCCATCTCTCTAGAGTGAGCTTCAACCTTTTTCTTCTCCTTCTGGGTCTGAATTCAGTCTTCATTGTGATAACTCAAAACCATCATGGGGACAGTGACTGTATCCAGACACCTTTAATATCACTGCCTGGTTGCCTCCTCCCTGGAAATCCCTCCACTACCTCTGCCCCTCTGCTTTTCCCAAAAAAATTTCCAAAACTCCTCCTTTTCCCTAATCCTTGACGTTCACCTCCACTCTCCCAGTGCCTCTTCACTTCTCTTTGCAGGTTACACCTATGAAGCCACTGCCCCAACCACTACCAGTGAGTATTCCCGGCTCCGATACCCTGGGTCCTGTCCCTACTTTTGAGTTGGGGAGCAGCTGTTCTCCTCACCTCCTCTCCTCGGCAAGGGAAACATCTTAAAGAGTCCTCAACTCACCCCTTCTCTCTCTCCGGGGTCCTGGTAGAGAGTCCTAGCCCAGGGCCAGGAGGGGTCAGAAAGTCCACACCTCATTCTGACCCTCACGTGGTTTTCATTTTAGTCCTCCTAAAAACCTGCCCTTGGTCTGTTAAAAGTAAACTGAGGCACAATAATATTTTTTTATTGATTATGCATATTCATGGGGTACAAAGCTGACCATCACCACCTATGCCCAAGATGAGATGATCAGATCAATACTATCAGCAATAAAGTTTTAAAGAGTGTATTTGAGCAAGCAGTGATTCATGAATCAGGAAGCACCAAACAGAAGGCAGTTTGGGGCTCTCCCAAAGGAACACACAACGGGAAGGCTTTTATAGTGTAAATGTGGAAGCAAAGCAATGGAAACGCTTGACTGGTTACAATTATCCAGTCGTCTTATTTGGTCTATCTCGTTGGGAAGTTTCTAGTTGTATAAGTTAGTTGGTGGCCTCTGAATGGCTGAGCCTAAGTTTTGTTTTTCTTTAATACAGGCATTAACAAGAAACAGCTTAAATTTGGCTTATGTTTGCAAATAGCCCAAGTTAGGATTCACTTATGTTTACAAATCAAGCAAGATCAAGTTTGCTTCCTTGATTTAACTGGCTTTTGTCTGCTCAGGGAATTCTCAATCCTGGTCTCCATTTTATTTATTTTAACAGTATTCATTTCTTATCGTTTTATACATATCTCTTTTTATTGCTCTGAGAGTTCCTCCCTGCACCTGTTTTTGTTGAGGTTTACTAAAACTGACTCCCTTCTGGCCACCATGCTAACTTACATGCTGTATTAATTTGCTTGGGCTGCCATAACAAAAAAAAATAAAAAAAAACCAGACTGTGTGACTCAAACAACAGACATTTATTTTCTCACAGGTCTGGAAGTCCGAGGTCGAGGTGGTGGCAGGATTGGTTTCTTCTGAGGTCTCTCTCCCTGGCTTACAGGTGGCCGTCTTCTCCCTGTGTTTTCATGTGGTCTTTCCTCCATGCCTGTCTGTCATAATCTCTTCTTATAAGGTCACTAGTCATATTGGATTGGGGACTACCCTAAGGACCTCATTTTAACTTAATTGCCTCTTTAAAGATTCTATCTCCAAATACACTCATATTCTGATATTCTGAGGTACTGGGGGGTAGAGCTTCAACATATGAATATGGTGGGGGGGGATGTCACAATTTAACCCATAACACAGTCTCCTTTAATTCTCACTACAACCACGTGACTTAGCTCCATTTTACAGGTAAAGAAGCTCAGGCTGCCAAGGCTACAGAGCAAATGAATAATAGAGCCAGGAGTTCCTAAAACTCCAAAACTCGTGGTCTAACTCTTCACACTACTCATCCATCAGTCAATTTATTCCAAAAGACATGCTGATTTGGGGTGTACCCCCATTACGTTCAAGTTCGTGGACAGACTCCTTTTGCATTCCCAGCAAACCTGCGATGAGAACCTTGCAGGGTTGCAATAATCAATTGCTCTTGCATTAGGGATGTGTTTTCTCTACTCTCCCAAACTCCCCACAGGTCCACCACTGGTCTCTTACAACACAGCATCCTCCTTTGCTCCTTCCAACAATGGCAGCGTTCTGAGTTGCTGAGAGCCAGTAACAACCATATTTTCCCAAACAATAGGAGGAAAAAATAAGTTAATACCAGCTCCATTGACTGTGTTTCGTTTATCACTGCCCAGTCCTTCGAATAGTTCCTGGAGCACTATAGGACCAATTTAGTATGTGTGGAAGGAAGGCTGGATGGATGGATGGATGGATGGATGGAGATGGATGGATGGATGGATGGATGGATGGATGGATGGATGGATGGATGGATGGAATGAAGAACGGGTGAATAGAAGGAGAGAGGATGGATGAGTGGATGGAAGATAAATGGAATAAAAAAGGGGAGGGAAGGGCC